AATGTGGTAAGATGTTAACATTTGGGAAATCTGGATGAGGGGTACGTAAGAACTCTTTGTACTCTTCTGACAAATTTCTGCGAGTCTAAAACTGTATAAAAACAAAAGCTGAAATAAAGAAGAAAGTTAACAAAGTAGGTTACAAAACATTTAAAACCTTATAAATCAGTTATATATATGCCTAAAATCACGTGAACCAAAATCGGATTATTCTGTACCTTTTCTATGCTTCTTCCCATAAAGAATGTAATTAGGGGTACTTTTTATTAAACTGTCTTTATAACTTTTATCTTTCAACATTTTTGTGATAAAAATTTTTAGTTTAAAGTCAGAACAAAGAGAGTAATGGATGCTTATTTTTAAACTATTGTTAAAATTCTGTTATGCTTTGGTGAAAAAATGTGATGTTGGCCGGTCGCAGTGACTCACACCAAAATTAGCTGGGCATGGCACGTGCCTGTAATCCCAGCTACTCGGGAGGCTGAGACAGGAGTATGGTGGCACGTGCCTGTAATCCCAGCACTTTGGGAGGCCAAGGCGGGAGGGTTGCTTGAGCCCAGGAGTTTGAGACTAGCCTGGACAACGTGGTGAAACCACCTCTACCAAAAATACAAAAATTAGCTGGGCGTGGTGGTGCATGCCCGTGGTTCCAGCTGCTCTGGAGGCTAAAGTGGGAAGATGGTTTCAGCCCAGGAGGCAGGGGTTGCAGAGATCACACCACTGCACTCTAGCCTGGGAGACAGAGCCAGAACCTGACTCAAAAAAAAAAAAAAAAAAAAAAAAAAAAAAAAAAAAAAAAAAAAAAAAAAAGAAAGGAAAAAAAGGAGGGGAGGAGGGATGTTTAGGAAGCAGTTAAAATTTTGAATCTTTTAAATTCGGTGAGCATTACATCAAATACCTTTTCTGGTTACTGCTTCATAAATAATTATTTAAAAAACACTAAAACATTAATTAAGTACATGCACTGTCATTTAGTTATCATTTCTTTATTATTAGAAAACTATAAGTTTTCATTTGTTTTATTATAATAAAGATTGAGTGAATAGTTTGTGCATAACATTTTGTTTTCATGTTTAGGATTTGTTTCTTAGGATAGGTTCCTAGAAGTAGGCTCAAAAGTTAGTTCATATTTCTTCCTCTGCTGTTCTTGTGACATTCAACTCCTCGTTATCACAAAGGACTGAAGAAGTGTAAATGTCTGCTAATAGTTGGTACCATCTGAATTGCTTCCCAAGACAGAGTAAATTCCAGGGATTATAAAGGAGTTAAAGAGTGTCCCAAACAAAATTTACTTTAAATTTTTTGTAGTCAGCCAGGCGGGGCTCACACCTGTAATCATAGCACTTTGGGAGGCGGAGGCAGGTGGATCACTTGAGGTCAGGAGTTCAAGACCAGCCTGGCCAAAATGGTGAAACCTCATCTCTAACTAAATATACCAAAATTAGCTGGGCATGGTGGCGTTTGCCTGTAATTCCAGCTATTGGGGAGGCTGAGGCAGGAGAACCACTTATCCCCAGGAGACGGAGGTTGCAGTGAGCCGAGATCACACCACTGCACTCTCTAGCTGTTGTCTTCTCCATCTCAAGAAAAAAAAAAAAAAAAAAAAAAAAAAAACTTATAGTCCTCTCACTTAAATATTCTTTTTTTTTTTTTTTTTTTTTTTTTTTTTTTTTTTTTTTTTTTTTTGAGACGGAGTTTCGCTCTTGTTACCCAGGCTGGAGTGCAATGGCACGATCTCGGCTCACCGCAACCTCTGCCTCCTGGGTTCAGGCAATTCTCCTGCCTCAGCCTCCTGAGTAGCTGGGATTACAGCCACGTGCCACCATGCCCAGCTAATTTTTTGTATTTTTAGTAGAGATGGGGTTTCACCATATTGATCAGGATGGTCTCGATCTCTTGACCTCGTGATCCACCCACCTCGGCCTCCCAAAGTGCTGGGATTACAGGCTTGAACCACCGCGCCCGGCCTTCACTTAAATATTCTTAAAGCAAAATAAAAGAACATTCAATATAATTGACATCTTAAAATTTGTTTTTTCTATTTGTACCCTTCCCTCCTTGGACTTTATCCTTCTTTCTCCTTTTATTCAGTTCACTCTGATTTCCCTATACAGTAACTGTGTGTGTGTGTGCATGTTTGTGTGTGCACGTGTGTGTTCAGAGAGAAAACAGATTTGGATTATTCAATATTTTAAATTCAATTCCTGGTTGGTTGTTTGCAATGACCCCATGGTAAGAATCTATGAGCTAATGTTGTCATTACTTTGACAAGATTTCATAATAGATTTTATAATAGAAAACCAGGAGTTTCTGAGCTGTCATTCTAAGTTCTGATTCCACCTTCATTATTGAGTGTGACATTAGAGTTAGACCTTAGTTTACAGTACATAAAATGAGGTATCTAGATTAGATGATCTACGGATTTAAAATATGTTAGGCTGGGCACGGTGGCTCATGCCTGTAATCCTTCCTAGCACTTTGGGAGGGTGAGGCAGGCGGATCACCTGAGGTCTGGAGATCAAAATCATCCTGGCCAACAATGTGAAACCCCATCTCTACTAAAAATACAAAAATTAGCTTGGCGTGGTGGTGTGTGCCTGTAATCCCAGCTACGTGGGAGGCTGAGGCAGAATTGCTTGAACTGGGGAGTTGGAGGTCATGGTGAGCCGAGATCATGCCACTGTATTCCGTCTCAAAAAGTAAATAAATATATAGGCCGGGCGCGGTGGCTCACGCCTGTAATCCCAGCACTTTGGGAGGCCGAGGTGGGTGGATCACGAGGCGAGAGATCGAGACCATCCTGGTCAACATGGTGAAACCCTGTCTCTACTAAAAATACACAAAATTAGCTGGGCGTGGTGGCACGTGCCTGTAATCCCAGCTACTCAGGTGGCTGAGGCAGGAGAATTGCCTGAACCCAGGAGGCGGAGGTTGCAGTGAGCCGAGATCGCGCCATTGCACTCCAGCCTGGGTAACAAGAGCGAAACACTGTCTCAAAAAAAAAAAAAAAAAAAAAAGTAAATAAATATATAAATAAAATAAAATGTGTCTAACCATCTTATCTTACGACTACAATGTTCTATAATGGCCCCTCTTTCTGCCTCTCTCTTTCCCCTCCTCCCTTTCTTTCTCTCTCCTCCCTGCTTTTTTTCAACTTTCATTTTAGGCTCAGAGGTACATGTGCATGTTTGTTATGTAAACTTGTGTCACTGGGGTTGGTTGTACAGACTATTTTGTTATCCGGGTACTAAAGCTAGTGCCCCATTGTTACTTCTTCTGGTTCTCTCCCTCCTCTCATCCTCCACCCTCAAATAGGACCAGTGTCTGTTGTTCCCTCCTTCGTGTCCATGTGTTCTCATCATTTAGCTCCCGTCTTTTCTTTCTCTCGCTCTCTTTTTAATTAGAAATGTCTCTAAATAAAATTCTATACAGTTAGCTAAGGAAAATTCACATATACTCTACATCAGCTAGAAATGTGTGTTGAACTGCGGATAACAGAACACCCAGATTCAGCGGCTTAAACAAAATGTGGTTTATTTGACTGCCTTCACAAGAAGTCTGAAGGTAAAAGGTTGTTAGCATGGTCCAGGGGCTCAGGCACATCAAGGCCAACATCTCTGAAATTCTCCTGGCCTTTCTCACATACTCTGTTATTTCTTGAGTGTAAGAAATGAAAGGGCCATTTGGGGCACCAGGGGCATCTGCCCCCTTTCATTAGAAAAGCAGAAGTTTGAGCCGGGCGCGGTGGCTCACGCCTGTAATCCCAGCACTTTGGGAGGCCGAGGTGGGTGGATCACGAGGTCAAGAGATCGAGACCATCCTGGTCAATATGATGAAACCCCGTCTCTACTAAAAATACAAAAAAATTAGCTGGGCATGGTGGCACGTGCCTGTAATCCCAGCTACTCAGGAGGCTGAGGCAGGAGAATTGCCTGAACCCAGGAGGCGGAGGTTGCGGTGAGCCGAGATCGTGCCATTGCACTCCAGCCTGGGTAACAAGAGCGAAACTCCATCTAAAAAAAAAAAAAAAAAAAAAAAGCAGAAGTTTGGCTGGGCACAGTGACCCACACCTGTAATCCCAGAACTTTGGGAGGCCCAGGCAGCTGAATTACCTGAGATCAGGAGTTCGAGACCAGCCTGCCCAACATGGTGAAATCCCCTCTCCACTAAACATACAAAAATTAGCCAGGCGTGGTGGTAATCCCAGCTACTTAGGTGGCTGAGGCAGGAGAATCGCTTGAACACAGGAGGTGGAGCTTGCAGTGAGTCGAGATCTCGCCACTGCATTCCAGTCTGGACCACAAGAGCGAAACTCAGTCTCAAAAAAAAAAAAGAGAAGTTTTTCCAGAATCATCTCTTTTCCCTTGCTATCAACATTTTTCCACTTACAGTTTGATGACCAGAAGAATGTCACATGGCCACCTCTGCCGTAAAGGAGTCAGACAGAGATTTGTGAACTCAACTTTTGCAAACAATTGTAGAGAATTCAAAAATTGATGCACATTATGGTACCCAGGTTCAGAATTCCTGATTGAAAAAGTGGGTCACACTATCTGAACCTACGTTTTCAGGTCCTCCTTCCTCAGAGAAAAACTGAAATCTAAACAGATTTCTGATAATCTGGTTTGAAGCAGCAAGCTGTTTAAAGGCCAGGGAATCAAATGAGATAATATATTATGAAACTTTGGCAAACTGTTAAGTTCTGCTTAACATGAAGACATCTGGTCGGGTGTGGTGGCTCATGCCTGTAATCCCAGCACTTCGTGAGGCTGAGGCAGGAGGATCACCTGAAGTCAGGAGTTCAAGACCAGCCTGACCAACATGGTGAAGCCCCATCTTTAAATAATAATAGTAATAATAATAATAATAGTAATATGAAGACATCTTTCTTTTGTGAGAATTTCCTTTGTTATCTATGTATTACACATCTTGGTTGCCATTTGCCTCGTGTGTAAATAAAATAAGACAGAATAGGGCAAAATAAAGACAGCAACAATCAGTGCCAGTAACACACAGAAAATATTTTATTAGTTTCCAGATTGAGAAACGACGAAGGAGTAAATATTTCAATAGAAATCTATGACTCTCTTCAGAGAGCCCACTCTGGCATTCACGGATCCCCAGTCCTGGTGCCGCCTGTAGTCCCCCGGCCTCAGCAGGTACTGCCGTCCTCGGTAGTTGGGCAGCTCGTAGAGGACCCAGGAGCCCTCCAGCACGTTAAGGGAGTGGATTTCATTGAAGTGGAAGCGGTCCTGAAGAGAGGTGCAGTCCTCAGTGAACTCTATCGTCTGGCCTCTGTAGTCCTCCGCCTCATAGAGTCTTATCCTGTGAGAGCCAGCCTGGCAGACCCAGAAATGAAAAGAGGAGAAAAGCAACCATGAAATGATTCCAATGCATTGTTAGGCAGTTTAGCTTGGTGAGGAGGACTGGCTCAAAGCCATTTTGAAATACATGGTAAAATTTAATTAATTCTGAATGTTTATAAACTCCTCCTTACTGAAGGCAGAGATTCAGTACCTTTTCTTTTTTTTCTTTTCTTTTTTTTTTGAGACGGAGTTTTGCTCTTGTTACCCAGGCTGGAGTGCAATGGCACCATCTCGGCTCACTGCAACCTCCGCCTCCTGGGTTCAGGCAATTCTCCTGCCTCAGCCTCCTGAGTAGCTGGGATTACAGCCACGTGCCACCATGCCCAGCTAATTTTTTGTATTTTTAGTAGAGACGGGGTTTCACCATGTTGACCAGGATGGTCTCGATCTCTTGACCTCGTGATCCACCCGCCTCAGCCTCCCAAAGTGCTGGGATTACAGGCTTGAGCCACCGTGCCCGGCCCTTTTCAAGATTATAAAGTGTTATAAAGAAATTGAGAAAGAAATACCCTTAATATATTCCGCTATTTCTCAGGATGAGCTGACTCCTATGCTTAATATCCTGTACCACACACAAACCCAAATCTGTAACAGCTTATTACTATTGTATGTCATTTTGAAGAGATGTTTTAATATTAAAATAAACATTAAATTATAAAAATTAAATTGTTTTTAAATATACATAATATCTAATATATATTTAATTATATACTATAATTAAAATATATTATAAAATGTATAAAATTATATTTTAAAAAAGGAAAATGAAAAAAATTGTTTTATTTAAAAATAATTATATTTATTTAAAAAATTATATTAAAATTATATTTTATAAGTACAAATTAAAATCATATTTATTCAAAAATGATTATATTTTATTTAAAAATTACTTAAAATATAAATAAAATATACTTAAAATAGAAATATTTTATATTTATAAAATACACAAATATAAGGGCTGGCACAGTGGCTCATGCCTGTAGTCACAACACTTTGAGAAGCCGAAGTAGGTGGATTACTTGAGGTCAGGCGTTTGAACCAGCTTGACCACTGTGGTGAAACCTCCTCTGTACTAAAAATTCAAAAATTAGCCAGGCGTTGGGGTCAGGCACTGTGGCTCACGCATGTAATCCCAGCACTTTGGGAGGCCGAGGTGGGTGATCACGAGGTCAGGAGATAAGAGACCATTCTGGCTAACATGGTGAAACCCTGTCTCTACTAAAAATATGAAAAATTAGCTGGGCATGGTGGTGCGTGTCTGTAGTCCCAGCTACCCGGGAGGCTGAGGCAGGAGAATCGCTTGAACCCAGGAGGCGAAGGTTGCAGTGAGCCAAGATCGTGCCACTGCACTCCAGCCTGGGCGACAGGGCAAGACTTTGTCTCAAAAAAAAAAAAAAAGAAAGAAAGAAAGAAAGAAAAGAAAAAGAAAAAATTAGCCAGTTGTGGTGGCATGCTCCTGTCCCAGCTACTTGGATGAGAACCGCGTGGACCCTGGATGTAGAGGTTGCAGTGAGCCAACATCATGCCACTGCACTCCAACCTGGGGGACAGAGAGAGACATCTTCAAAAAAGTTAATAATAAATAATAAATGCAATAAAATAAAAATACAAAAAATAGCCGTGTGTGCTGGTGTGCTCCTGTAACCCCAGCTACAGAGGAGACTGAGAGAGGAAAATCATTTGAACCTGGGAGGCCGAGGTTGCAGTTAGCCAAGATAGCGCCACTGCACTCCAGCCTGGGAGTCAGAGTGAGTGAGACTCTGTCTCAAAAAAAAAAAACCCATAAAATAAAAACTATAAATAAATATAATGTAAATAAAATATATTTAAAATATATGAACTATATTTAAAATATAATTTATATATTATATAAATATATTAAATGAATAATTATTAAATAAATCTTAAATTATATTCATTAAATATATTAAAATATAATGTATTTTAATATGATATAAATGAAATTATTAAATATATAAGCCTATTTAAATATTAAATATTTTAATAAGATAATGCATTAAACAACAATTAATTCTAAGTCAATAATTTGTGAATACAATGAGGAAAAATAGAGAAAAAAAATCAGTAAGTCCAAGGACGAATTTTTCATAAACTGTAGTGTTCTAACATACATACGGGATATATGTGGCACATGTGTGAAATGTCTGTGTTGCTTTCCATTGACTGCCACACTCTCTGGCAGCTATTCTTCTATTAGGTAGTAGTGGTTTTTCTACGACTCCATTCCAAATGATTCCAGAATAGGAGTTAAGTCTTACACAACCCCATAGGGCGGGCGACACATTCTTACTCAGTAAGTGTTTGTGGATTAATTGTGATTCATTGGTATCTGGGTAACACTTCGCTTTTGTGGGGCGCAAACTCTATTGATTAATCCACTATAGTTCATCTTTTACCCACTCTCAGTTATGTGAATGATCACTACTTCTAATGTTCAGCATTTGCTTGTAAACATCCAGTGAGTGTCCTGAGGGCTTCGGTCTTGACTTGAGGCTGCACTCACGTGGGGGATGAGGCGGCAGGAGCGGACGGAGTCGCTGAGGCCCATCCACTGCTGGTGGTTGGCATAGTCGCCGGGGCGCAGGAAGTACTGGAGGCCCGAGTAGTTGGGCTGCTCATAGAGCATCCAGCAGCCGCTGTCCACGCGCACCGAGTTGCAGCGGCTCAGGTAGGGCTGCAGGTTTGCGTGATCGCTGCTGCATTCGTAGTGGCGGCCCTGGAAGCCCCGGTCCTCGTAGAGCGTGATCTGCAAGGCAAGGCCAGGCAAGGCGAGGGTTCACAGGCCTGCCCCCGCCCCTGACTCCGGTCCCCGCGGAGCTCCGGGGTCCCAGGGCGCGGGCTGGGCTCACCTTCCCCATGGCTGGCTGGGCGCGCGGCGGGTCTGAGCGGGTGGGGCGGTGCGCGGCCGGGCTATATAGCTGGAGGGCTGCTGCGTTGGCAAGAACCGCACAAAAGGGGCCCGGGGAGGGGAGCAAGGGCATTTTTGTGTTCTCTTTTTTCTCTTTGCTGTCCTAGTCCACGGGACTCATTGTGGGTTTTGGTCCTATTCTCTCTGGAGTATTCGGATTGCTATCACTGGCTGATGCTGTTGAAAATGTTTGAAAAAAGGTAATTTGGGACATTATTTCATAATAGAAGTGGAGCTTCAGCTATTTCACATATAGTTCACACTCTTATTTGTATAGGTTGGGGGAAAACAAAAAAGTTGAAGTCGGGGAGCAAAAAAAGCAAAGACTCTTAATAAGGCAAATATAAGTCTGTCAGAACTACAGCATAACTTACGTGCCACAATATTGAATACTGTTAGTATTGTTAGTAGGAAGGAAATGGGCTTAACTGAGTGTTGAGAATTTCAAGTTAGTCCTTTAAGAGAACGTCATCAAGAAAGGGTTAAGAAATTGGAACGTTTTATCATGAGAGTTCACAGAACTTCAATCTTTTATGACAGTAAAATACACAGCAAACATGAATCTTCAATATTGGGTCTGTAGCAATCATGCCTGGAAGTAGCCGAGAATTAGATGTTTTTCCTCTTAGCTAATGGTAGTGCTGTGATTCAAAAGAGAGCATAGTTCTAAGACGCTTAATCTCAGAAAGAACTAAAAAGGGAAATACCTAAGTTTGAGGAAATTAGAAAAAGTAATACATTTGAAACAAAAAGACAGGATCTCTTAGCTTGTTATAAAATAAAACTGAATTCCTAAGAAACTTATTTCTTGTAGGATCTAGAATACACATTTGTTCTCTGAATGAGCGAGTACAGGAGGCCTTTGACTCAGAGGAAATTAATTGCATGAACACAAAGGGGAGCTCTGGCTGGAATGATGCAGGGAGAGGAAGGAATAAATATCTAGAAGCTGAACTCTAAGAAGACTTTAGAAAGTACTTACTGGCCTGGAAGAGAACCGTTTGATGGACTGGAAAGAGCACTGGAGTGGAAAATGACCGATGTGTCCAGTTTCTTTCATGTTCAAAGAACTGTTCACAGTCCTCTGTCAACCCCTGGAAGTACTTTGTCTTGTTTTTGAGTCATAAATCTTTGTAAGGGGTACTTATGAATTAAACACCAACTATCTGCAATACAAATTATTTTAATTCTTATTTTCTGGCTTCTTCTTATTCACTATGTAAATGCATGTTTGCAAAGTTGCTTGTGTTTACAGAGTAGAAAATAAGCATCTAGAATCTAAGGAATACACATTATCATTTTAATTAAATTTTTAAAATAAAAATAATAAAAATAACTTGAAAATAATTATTATTACATACAAATGTCCAATGGGTATATATAAAAAATACTCAACATCACTAATTGCCAGGGAAATGCAAGTCAAAATCATAAGGGCATATCATCTCATCACAGTCAAAATGGCTATTATAAAAAGACAAAAAAGAACGAATGCTGGCAAGAATGTGGAAAAAGAGGGATGTTTGTATTCTCTTGGTAGGAGCAAAAAGCAGTATACCTGTTACAGAAAACAGTATGGAATATCCTAAAAAATAAAAATAGAACCACCATATGATCCAGCAGTCTTACTGCTGGACATACATCCAAAAGAAAGGGATGTCTTCACTTCTATGTTTATTGCAGTACTATTCACAAAAATCAAGATATAAAATCAGCTTACATGTCCATGAACAGAAGAATGGATAAAGAAAAGGCAAATTATGTGTGTATATATACATATATATATATAGTATATAGGTACATATACACACACATAATGGAATATTATTTGGCTATAAAAAGAATGCTATCCTGTCATTTGCAGCAACTGACAGCGGTTGCTGGTTGGAACTAGAGGTCATTACGTTAAGTGAAATAAGGTAGGCACAGAAAAACAAAACAAATATTGCATGTTCTCATTCATATGTGGGAGCTAAAAACATTGATCTCATGGAGGTAGAGAGTAAAATATGGGCCAGGCATGGTGTTCACACCTGTAATCCGAACACTTTGGGAGGCTAAGGTCAGGAGTTTAAGATCAGCCTGCCCAACATGGTGAAATCCCATCTTTACTAAAAATACAAAAAATTAGCTGGGTGTGGTGGTGTGTGCCTGTAATTCCAGCTGCTCGGGAGGCTGAGGCACAAAAATCGTTAGAATCCAGGAAGCCAAGGTTGCAGTGAGCCAAGATCGCACCACTGCACTGCAGCCTAGGCAACAGTGGGAGAGACACTGTCTCAAAAAAAAAAAATAAAAAAAAAAAAAAAAAAAAAAAGAGACAGAGAGAGAGAGAGTAAAATAGTGGTTATCAGAGGTTAGGAAGGGTAGCGGGAAATGAAGAAATGAAGAGATGTTGGTTAATGAATATAAAAATACAGTTTGATAGGAAAAAAACAAAAAAGAAAAAAGGAAGAAAAAAATACAGTTTGATAGAAGGAATTAGTTCTAGTATTGGATAGTATAATAGGGAAATTAAAATTTATTGTACATTTGAAAACAGCTGGAAGAAAAGAACTGTAATATTCCCAACAAAAAGAAAAGATAAATCTTTGAGGTGATTACCCTGCTTTGATCATTATACATTGTATATGTGTAATGTACACTGTATATTTTGTATACATGTATCAAAATATCACATGTAGCCCAAAAGTATGTACAACTATGATATATCAACAAAAATATAAAAAATAAAATAATCATTATTTTGCTGAATTGTTTTTGAGTCTGGGCTTCTGTGGGGGGAGTGTGGATGCAGTCACAGTCAAATATGAGAAAGAACCAGGATGTAGACAGTCCTGGAGAGAATGGGCTGAGTGGTTCAATGAAACCTCGAGGGGCACAATGGGGACATCTGTGTGAACCACTGCCTCTGTTGACATGTAGTTGCAGCTGATATTTCGGGTGCATTTGGAAAACCAAAGCAAGGGACTTTGGGCTTGACTTTTCCATTGACCAGGAAGAGAGAAGGCTTCATTTTAGCCTGGGGCTGAAGAAACAGAAAGTGCTATTTCCTATATACTTCATTTATAAAATTTCTCATCTGAAAAGATTTAATGTGTGTCTCAAGCACTTTTAGTAAAAGAAACAGGAAGTTCTGTAGTTCTGGGTTCAAATTTCCCTCCAAAGAAATAGCCATATTTTTGTCTTCAAGATTGTGTTCTTCATTAATACAGCTTTTGCTATAAAACTGTCATCTCTAACTGTGTCACATGATATTTTCATTTTAAATGAGCTACTATTTTTCTTTTTTGAGATGTAGTCTCGCTCTGATGCCCTGCTGGAGTGCAGTGGCTTGATCTTGGCTCACTGCAACCTTTGCCTTCCAGGTTCAGGCGATTCTCCTGCCTCAGCCTCCCGAGTAGCTGGGACTATAGGCAGACACCACCACACCTGGCTAAGTTTTGTATTTTTAGTAGAGATGGGGTTTTATCATGTTGGCTAGGATGGTCTTGATTTCTTGACCTCATGATCTGCCTGCCTCAGCCTCTCAAAGTGCTGGGATTACAGGCGTGAGCTATTGTGCCCGGCCAAGCTGCTACTTTTCAGGCACCTTCATCCTTGTCTGCCACCACCATAATTAGCTAACATTAATCTTGATTGTTCCCAGAATCCTTCACTAAAGATACGCAATTTACCAGTAAAGGCTCAAAACTGACTGTACCAGTGATGGGAACCTAGTTCCCTAACACTTCCCTTTTGAAATTCTAAAGAAAAAGGTTATTTCATGATGGATTGCAAGCTGACTGTCATTTTTATGTGAGAGAAAGAAAGAAAGTAAGTCATTTACAAAATGCATGGATTATTTTTAGACTGGCATTTTGACCAGCTATACAAATTATTGATATTGACTGTATGTAGCAAAACCCTAACTTGAGCTAGTCTCTTTCACCCCTAAAAACTGAGAGAGAGGCCGGGCGCGGTGGCTCAAGCCTGTAATCCCAGCACTTTGGGAGGCCGAGGCGGGTGGATCACAAGGTTGAGAGATCGAGACCATCCTGGTCAACATGGTGAAACCCCGTCTCTACTAAAAGTGCAAAAAAATTAGCTAGGCATGGTGGCACGTGCCTGTAATCCCAGCTACTCAGGAGGCTGAGGCAGGAGAATTGCCTGACCCCAGGAGGCGGAGGTTGCGGTGAGCCGAGATCGCGCCATTGCACTCCAGCCTGGCTAACAAGAGCGAAACTCCGTCTCAAAAAAAAAAAAAAAAAAAAAAAAAACTGAGAGAGACATTGGGAGATTCATATATCCTATACCCCAAGACCAGTGGGCTAGAGAAAGGAACAAAGAAGTAGAAAGGTAGGAGGCGGAGGTGAGAGTGGGAAGGAGGGCCAGATGGAGGCAGGAGGTGGAGGTGGCGGAGAACCTGGGACTTCCCCCGGGTTTTTCCCTGTGACTACCTTCTTGGCTGCCTGTGCCCCAGCCAAAGAACGGAAGGCAGGAAGTAGCTGCTCCTATAATGCCACCCTTCATCTGCTGTCTGTTGTGGCAAGAACAGATGGTTTTCCATTCACAGGAAACTGTATTCTGTGGAGGTGCTGTTCCAAAGCAGAAAAAAAAGAAGTGTCGCAGAAAGGTAAAATGTGTAAGGAAGTGTTGAATGTGTAGTGTACCTCATGCCAGGAAAACACTTTTTCTTCCAAAATGTTAAACATATACTGTAAGAAATATGGAAAAGTATTTGATAAACAAAAGTGATTAAATATATATTATTTAGTACTTGGTAAGTACTTGAATTTACAAAGTGATTATATCTTATTTAGTATTAATATTTAGTTTCCTTCCTTCCTTCCTTCCTTCCTTCCTTCCTTCCTTCCTTCCTTTCTCTCTCTCTCTCTCTCTCTCTCTCTCTCTCTCTCTCTCTCTCTCTTTCTTTTTCTTTCGATGGAGTCCGGCTCTGTTGCACAGGCTGGAGTGCAGTGGTGCAACCTCAGCTCACTACAACCTCCACCTCTCCAGTTCAAGCAATTCTCTGCCTCACCCTCCTGAGAAGCTGGGATTA